TTTTTTTTTATTGAGAAAGTATCTTCAACAGCCAATTTTTGAAAACAACATAAAAATTCACATCATGTAATCAAATTGTGAAAGTTGTATAACAACCCATGATTCTTCTCAAAATTGCTGACATCCATAAAACGTTATTCTACTTCTGCACCAATTTTGTCAATCAATACAAAAGAAGCCCTTACTCTTCCTCCTCAAAGTCATCATAGTCCTCCTCGAGTTCTCTCTGCCTGTCCTCAGTGTCAGATGCCTCTGAGGTGTGGTGCATGGACTCTGCTGTCCTGGGGCGTTCTCTTATGTAATCCTTGGTGAGGGAATTCAGGAGCTGTTCTCTTCTCAGAGAGGACTTACTGGGACTTGCCATGTAACAGTGAGCATCTGAAAAGCAATCATGATTTTTTTTTTTTAATTCATTTCACAGCTTAAATACATCTATTACTTAAATTCAGTTTAGATAATTGATGATGTTGGGTATCCCTCTCAGGTTCTTAAGTCAGTCTACTAAGAATGAAAGTGGTACTATTATCAGTCTTGTTACAAGCATGAATATCGAATACAACTGGATGAATAAACTACATGATAGTATTATCAAAAAACTGCCTATAAGAACACTTGATCATTCAGTTGAAATAAGACATTAATGAGTTTTTACAACTCAACATCAAAGTTATTTGATTTGTTATTGTTTACTAGTCAGGGCCGTAGCCTGAGCAGAATGCCAGGGGGGGCAGTAAGCGGACACAAGGGGGCAAAGCCCCCGAGGGGGGAGGGAGTGTCCCCCTCCCACGGTGTGGAAAATTTTTAAAAACTGTATGTATAATACTGCATTCTGGTGCATTTTAACATGAGTGTATTTTTTCACAGAATTGATACCAACGTTGCAATTATTTTTTTTTACCTTTGCGATTATTTTTTTTGCACCTCAAATCCCAGGGGGGGCAACTGCCCCCCCTGCCCCCCCCGGAGGCTACGGCCCTGCTAGTATTGTAATTTACTTTGGGAAAGTTCTTTTTTTTAAAGACTTAAAAGACTCAAGCCCGAAAAGTTTTAGGAAAAGATCCTCTACCTGCCACTATGCCCCTGCATTGTTCTATGGAAGGACCATCTAACACTACTGGCTCCAACAAAGGTTTCAACCTACAATATAACAAACTGTACATGTGAAAATATTCTTCTGGCAAAGATTTCAGTTTGTTGCAGCAAAGAAAAGACTGACACTTCCTTTTGATAAACAGCATCAATTATAAAATATTAAGAATATTTGTTGTAACTAGGTGATTGATCCATATTCTTTATACTTTCAGGCACAATTCACAAATAAAAACAAACTTAAACTTTGAAAATTGTGGATGAATGTTACAAAATACCAAAAGGTTTTCTGTAGCACTGTTGATTATCAATACAATTAATTCACCTGTGTTATGTATAAATCTACCTGAACAGATGACCTAACATTAAGTTCATTACTCAAATTGACAATTTTGTCTTACTTTCCCTTCCTCAGTCTCCCAAAGTGCTTGGTCTCCTGTTTGACAGGTTGCTGTGCCAGGACTCGGCTCACGTGGTAAGTTGCTAAAGCTGTCTTCTCCTTGAGATCTTGTCCAGGAGCTACATTGCTCTATATGGTTTCATAAGACAGAAAATAATACAATATACTTTAAGCTTATTTTTCTTCTATTTCATTCATTGTGTCAATTTGGTTGAATTCTTCCAAATAAATGGGAATGGGAGGGGAGACTACCTGCCATTTACTAATTTTGAGTTACACCAACTTACTTGCAAATTATATGATAATTATGTCGTGTCTTGAAAATTGACAAGTATGTTTACAAAATATATCATTCTATCATGGGCACTAAAAAGTTTTTATTAGTACTAGTAACATTTGTTGCCTCAAATTCTAAAACATAATCCACAAGATATGTAATATAAGTACCAATGTAAATGTTCATTTTTATTACAATGATCAATATAACCCATTCAATACACTAAATGAGAGCAGCAACAACAGTAAAACTATAATTATGTTTATCAAAGTACATCACTAAAAACTCACCACTTCTAATTCAATAGTATTTGCATTCTGCTTGAAGGGAGATTTGATGTGTTTGTTGGCTTTAGGGTGCACTGTAACCACAGGGGACTTGTGGAAGGGCACTGCATTAGGAAACTTAATGAAATCTCCAGCCACACTTCCATAGGCTGCTGCCCTGGATTGCCTGGAGGGTGCTCGTCTATAACAGATCAGACAATGTAATTACTAGTAAGTGATAAACTTTTCTAAATAGGAGCTACTTGGAAAGTATGTATATACATGTAGAAATTTCTAAGAAAATAAATCTTGGGTAAAAATCAAATATCAAATAAAAACAGACAAATAATAATTTGTAAAAAAAAAAAAAAAAAAAAAGAAGAAGAGGAAGAGCAGGACCAACAAGAGCAATCTGCAAATATGCACAGTAAGAGCTTTTCAACATTATTAACAAATATTACAATAAAATTCATATTCTAAATATTCACAATCAATAGTTTTTAAAAGTAACAACAAGAGCCTCAATTTTGTGTTTTACCTGGTGGATGCTGCAGAAGTCACTCTTCCTGTCTGAGAGGCTCTAGTGGCTCGAGTTGTCGTTGACCCAGGACGACTTAGAGGGACATTTAACCTGTTACTTTTCTGTCTAAGCTGGGATGGCTCTGCTGAATTAAATGTCATATTAGTCTCAGGGTTCATACTTTCTTATTATCAGGTTTTTTCCTCAGATTTAACAATCTATCACTACTAACTAAGCATTCTGTAGACAGGTATTTCAACTGATTGTACACAATTAGACAGTTTAAAATCTATTAAATATAACAGCACCAGTGTAAAAAAATACAACTAATCAATAAAATACCAGTACAAGTACCTGCTTCTGCAGCTTGTTTCTCTGGTGGAAGAAGGTTGATTCCAAGGAAAGGGGAATTCTGAAAATCAAATAAATCCCATATAACATTTCCTGATTTATACACAGGTAAATAGCATGGATCCTGTTGTTTATACCAGAGTGTTATATCAGTACCAGGTGCTAGTAACCTTTCAAAACATGACTAGATATTATAGCTGTAGTTTCACTCTCCAGTATTTGTGCACCTTTTTATGTTGCAATTAGAATTTATATCTTTTGTAAAGACAGGTCGCAGAAAAGCAAAATATCACATTGGCAAACATGAGTGTACGGGAGTCATATACTAGTAAGCTGCACTGTTGACGGGCTTAATTACTTGTACACAGTTCCAATACAAGCGATGTCACATACCACTAACACAAGTATAAATTACCTCGTGTGGCTTTATGGGCCGTGCCCTATCTGCCTTTGGTTTAGGGAGTGGGTCTATGTGGCCGAGGATGGGTGCACTTCTTGATTTCTTCTGTCTTGATATCTTCGTCTTCTTCTCAAACCCTTGAAGTTGCTGTTCCAAAAAAGTCGACAATTTGGCTGCAAGGTGCGCAGCATCTTTATCCGCATCCATTTTGAAATTAAGTAAAAAATGCCTCAGCTCCTAAACACTTCACGCACCTTTCACCTTCTGTAACATGAATTTATGGACCCATAGTTGGTGAGGGCAATTAAAGTTCTTTGATACATCGGCAACTTTGAACGGTGGCAACCATATTGTTTACAGTTCAAATAACGCCTGGAGCTTGTTCTCTCCGCATTAAAATAGTTCCCGCTATTAGCACATTTTCGTAATAAGAAAGTTAAAACTTACACTAGTTATCTTAAGAGACACCAAACATGCATATAAAATGTTTCAAGTGGACTACTGGAGTGCAAAGTTTCAAATAAACTCAAATACAAATCATTTGCTGAAAGATATCAATGCACATATAGCCTCGATATCACATTTTGGAAAATGGCGGCTTCCATGAAGATTGAAAATTCGTCTGCAAGTGCAAATTAGGAAATTTTCTGCCGAATCAAGACTTTCGGTGGGTTATTCCTAGTTCAAACATATTTTATTTATTTGTTATACAAAAATATGTAGAAAATTTTAGTATTTTTATTAAAAGGTATCCTGTTCAGGATTTCTGGCACATTTGCTGGTGCGTGCTACAGCATTTAGTATCGGTCCTATTAAACATAGAAATGGATAGAAATGGAGCGAAATGAGCCGAAGTTGACCGAAATGGACCAATATAGATCTCCTGTTAAGCATATTAAACCCCCTTGAGATCGTATTTGGGTTCTAGACCATAAAAATAATCTTACATTTGCACCAGAAAGGTGATATGCTGAACTTTCTAGAGATACATCGTCGGAGGCTGTAATTAGGTCAAGGTCGCCAGTTTCGGGGTGGACTCCAAATCGAGGCTGGTGTTGGGAGCCCACGTGCTCCATATACTTTCACAGCGAAATTTTCAGGCTCCCTTCCTATGGTGTTTTTAGGGGTAAAATTATTGGAATATAGGTAAGTTTTGCTGTTGAGTGTATTGGGAGTAAGTGTAATTTTCTATGCATTTATTGATATATTATATTTCCTATAATTTAATTTATTTTATTTTTCATAAGTAATAATATAGTATTTTGAGAATAACATGAATATTTAATTCTGAATTCTTTAGTTATTAACAGAGATTGCAGTTTCAACTTAGCACCTAAGACTGCAACATCGGTTAGTTGCTAAATGTAAGTTCCAGTATAATTACAAAGTCACTTATACCTTATTCTCATTCCGTGTATCAAATTATAAATTACTAGTCAACATATTGATGTTTTGTTTTAGCATGTAGGGGGAAAACACAAATTTGTACCAGTTGCATTATTGGTATGTATAACACCATGAAGTTGGATTCCACAAACAAACTCTTAATGGATTTGTTATATCAATATCTTGTGTATCTTAATCATTGCTTACCTGTTTTTGTTTTTCTTTTTTAAATAATTTTGCTTAAACTTTTCTAGTAAATGAACCGTTTTTTTTTTTTTTTTTTTTTTTTTTTTTTTTTTTTTTTTTTTCAACAGTAGGCTTTTTTTTTGGTTTTAAAATAAACAAAGAACCTTTTTTTTTTTGGAATTTTAAAAAAAAAAAAAATAAAAAA